TCTACCACTTTTTTCAAAGGATAATCAAGAGCCCCTTCTCACAATCGGTGGAGTACACATGCCATTTCTCCTTTATCTTGACAGTGACCTTGTGCCTTTGCGTTGATTGTCATCAAGTGTCTACCTGCCCCTCTGAAAAATGAATAAGCATTTTAAGAATTATAAAATTATATCAAATATCTAACATATCATACAGATTACATTACAGGATCAAAAGAAAGTATTCTTATAATATTTCAGTACACTACATACATGTACAGTACTGTATGTGTAGGTGATAGATCAATACGTCTACATGTGTACATGCTAAACCAATTAGAAATTTATTTAACAAAGCCAAAGAAATCCATGTTATGTAAGCAAAGGATATACAAATCTTCCAATAAATATTTGCGAAAAGCATCTCAAGTATACAAAACAGTGATAATTACACAAATCTTGTGTATGTGAATATTGTTGAAGATGTACAGTACATGTACATGTACACCCTGTATAGGAGGCAATTCAAATTTCATAAGAATGTGATTCAATCTCTGTATGACCATAGGATTGAATGTACATGTACATGTACAGAGTACTACAAAAAATTGCCACATTAAAGCTAATGTCAAAAGGACTTCACAGAGGATTTGAAAAGACTAAAATGTGATTTAAGTTTCATGAGCTGCTATGTAAAATGATTCAGCAGTGTACTGGAGTACTAGCACTATTCTAAAGGATTTGCTCAGTGTCACATTATAAGACATTATACAAAGCAATATTTTTGAATTTTTAACTAACAATTTCCTACTCGATTTGGTTTTCCTACATTCTTGTATGGCTGGTAGTTTGTCTATCCACAACATGTACTCTCTAGGTGAAATTTTACAGGAACCAGTAGTGAATTTGATCTGTGTTTGCTTTATTACCTTCATGTATACAGTAGCAGGTAATTTTACATGTACATGTACCATGCATTAAAATGCATATTTGCCCGGTCCGCAAACTAACAGTTTTGAGCGGGCAATATTTCCTGATAGTTTCTCTCTTTCGGGTTTCACCATTCACTTTGAGTACAAAGATTGTGTTCCATATTGGACCTTTCAAACAGCTAAAATCGCCGCAAAGTTTGAGCAGACTATCATGCGGCGCTGTAGTAGGGTATAGTGACCGTACGTGATTCACAAATGAATAGGTAATAATTATAATCTTTTGAGAGATACAGTGATATGCATTTATATGTACATGTATTGCCCTTACTGAATTAGTGAAGGCAATACAGGGTGTATTACCTTGTTTCTCCCTCAAGGCCAGTAATATTATGTAAATGACAATCATGTTAAGCTCCAATTAATGACAGGTTATGCCAAACTATACCATTTGAGAACCCTTCATCCCAAATCTTCTACATAGGTGAATTTCACATATCTTGGGGGCAAAGAATGTGATCCATAATACATGTAGCTATTCATAACCATGTACAGTATCATCATGATATTCAAACTACATGTATCACATCAAATGTAATACATACCAACATATTTGATTTAGAGAGGCTGTGTTGTTGTGAGGAAAAGTTTTTGCCCTGAATTTTTGTTAACATTTTTATTTACATAAGGGTGGTGTTGATATGCTTACTATTATTTACATAAATAGAAAATGAATTAATGTGACACCTACATGTACAGGGTGTATATCAAGATTTTTTTCTCAAAACTATTGCAGCTACAATGTACCATTTAAAAAAAAGGTAGGCTATTTGCTTAGAAGTCAGGGTCAGCAAGACAACCATTATTGGAAGACATTGGAAGATCACATTACCAAAACAAAGTATTCAGAATTTTGAACCACATTGCTCACTTCATCACTGTATGGAAAGAGAATGACTACCGGTAGTCTGATTTGATTTACATTTCTTTAAATATAGCCCAAAAGAATACTGGTACTATTTACATGTTTAGTGAGATGGAGAAAGGGAATGGCCCATCAATCGTAACTGATACCACTTAAATCTATAATGCAGCCTCACAGCTCACTGAACATTGTATAATAAATTGAAACAGGATTTTCCAAAGATTAGAATTTTATACTACTCAAAATAGTAGGCTTTTGACCACTTCTATTGCAGGTACAGGCCATAGTTCATCCATACTTCAGAGTTGAAGCTGCCAGGAGAGGAATTTAATCTATTTCTTTTTATTAGTATACAAATGTTTTAATTTTCTAATTATACCTCAGATCAAAACCTGTTTTGCTTTAAAAAGTGATTTGAAGAAAGACACTCGCAACCAATTTCAACCAAACTACCCGGTAGTAAATGGAGCTTCAAATTTAGATTGCATGTAAATGTCACAGATATTAAATATTTGAAGGAAATATGCATTTCTGAAACAATCCACCCTGTTTAGAAAGTTGGTTTTTGTTAATATCACTTATGAGAATATAATACTATCCTTTTTTATTCTGTAATACGTGTAGACCTATTTCTCTATGCAATGATACCCAATTGATTGTGGTGCTATTATTGAGAGTTATCATTTTGAGAGTTTCACCAGTTCTTTTGGATAACAAGACATCTGTTTAGGTGCAGAAATCTACAATCACTATGGAAATTAAGGACAAAGAAAGCGGACAAAATATACAGTTCCTCATTCTACCCTCAACAATTGCTATACATGGTAGACAAAGGAACATCCCTTCACTGCTATTATGTAAAAATGTGTAGAACAAAATGCATGTGACACCCGTTCTACAGGTTTTTACATAATAGCAGTGAAAGGATGTTCCTTTGTCTACCATAGCAATTGTTGAGGGTAGTATGAGGAAATGTATATTTTGTCCGCTTTCTTTGTCCGTCATGTTCATTGTGAATTTCATTAATGTACATGTATGTATTTTAGAATCAACATTAATATTAAGAGTCACTATTTGTTTTGCAACATTGTCACTTACATGTATCGTGTTTCCCATTCAGCAGTATACTGCACATATCAAAGTTACAAAATCCATATTATTTAGGCACCAATGTAAACAGAAATTCATTGGTTAAAGAATGTTATGCAATGCTATGCAAATGATGAATTAACAAACAACAAACTTTTAAAAGTACTCATACAATCATGTTGACAGAAAATTAAAATTAAAATTGCAGAATAGGCAAGGTCCTGAAGTTGGATGTCTTTTGATATTCTTGTCTACTGAAAATAAAGCTACAGGTATTTAAATTCTGTAATACAGCTTTTTGACAAAGCTTTCACAATAAGAGATAACATCATTTCCTACACTGCAAGATATAAACAATAAGGTGTCTTCATTTTTGTTGCCATGCATTAACAAATTGTGTTATGTTTTGAGCCTGAACTCATATCACAGAATGTTTGTTGTATGATTGCTAAATGTTGGTATTTTTATACACTCTACATGTAAAATGGATATTCATTATTCAACATTTGAAAAGTTCTTTAATACAATAATATCTCTAGGGTTGATAAAATGTTACACTTCTATTCAACATTAACCACAAAAACATTTTTAGCTGTTGGGTGAAATATTTGCTCACTGTGTTAAAAAAAATTCTACTAAGAGTTGTTCAGTAATTGAAGTTATGAAAATAATACAGGTAATCACTATTCATTCCATATTGTTGTTAACCAATTGACCTAGCCAATGACTTTGACTCACTCCATATTTAAAAACATCATTACAATTTTTAAATATTGACTTTTGGATGATGAATGAAGTTTATAATGATGAATTTCATGGCTGTTTGATGAACAACACATCAGCAACAACATCAAAATATAGAGTTGTTATATTCAGTGTACAACTGCATGCTTCTGCTGCAAAGTATCAATAATGTTGTTGGATCATGTAATATACCAACCTTTATAACAAGTTGAATCCGTAGATAAAGAAAGATCAGAGAAAAAATTGGTGAGAGTTTAAAAGAAAAAAAAAAAAAAAGGGAAAGTTCAAAGAAATTGATTTAAAACAAGAAGAACAAAATTTTTAGAAAGTTGTAATCACTTAACATTCACAACCAGCAATGTACAATACCCTGTAAGTCATTCTACTGGACATAATTGTAAATCTCCATTCGTTTCACACTTTTAAAACAAAGTTTACAGTATACCAGTCCCTTTTCTCTCAGAGCTGTACTAAAAAAATATTCAGAGAGCTCAATAGGTCCTCCAAAAATGAAGAGGTTCTATCATAGTCATATTACATGTGCAAGTGTTGAATGATATTGGTCCAACATTACATCACTATACATGCCCAATCATCAATTCAAAAATTTGAAATTCATATACAGACTACAAATTTCAAACATTAAAACCTTACTTATTACTTGTCTGAGTTTGTTCAAACTTTCACCAGCCTGCTTCTAAAATTTTTCTGTTTCCTTCAGAGCATCTTACTTTTAGGGTTACATTTCCCATAAAAAAACTATTACTATCAATACTTGCTAATGGCTCTCATTACCTTTAATATCTTTACTAATTAGATAAAAAAAGGGTCACAAAATAAGCATTAAAATTGTAACTTCAAATACGGTACTCTTTTGGTGTTGAATAACTTGAACACCAAGTGTCATGTGATGGTTTAAAGGCTTTAACCTTTTTACCAGGCAAGTCTTCAATAATATTCCAATTACCGGTATTTATACAATATCTTTTATTGTCATTAAATTGTTTCTGGAATTAGTGCTGTGAGTTTAGTGTGTAATTTCCATTCAGTGCACACAGCCAGTTTATCTTTGCGTGTACACAGTTATGACATTTACCAAAAACAAAAGCAGTATTTCAGCTAGGTACATTTGTACATGTATAGTATGTTGTACAGTACATTTAAGACCAGCAATCCAGCGCGCATTCACAACAACCATTTTCTCTGTAAAGTTGTTACAGTAGTAACAGTACTGCACACAAAATCATCATGCTCATGGAATAGTCAGACCGCAATGATTGACATATTAGCGAGTTTTCGCTCAGCAACATACAGACCTTCGCGGACGCAGAGCACTCAGGTTTACGGCCGTCGCATACAGACTGCCCTCAATACAATATGTGGTTTTGCTTTTCGGTGAATGCGTACGTATTTCTACGGAGGTATTGCATTTGCAATGCCATTAGGCAATTTTTGTAATGTAACCAAATTTAATGCAAACGTCTTTGTGAAGTGCCTCGATACAAAATATTTCTTTCACCTGATAAGGATAATAGTATTTCAATAGACAGAATCCAAACTGCATACATTAGTTGTTGCCAGTTCGACAAACATTAGGGGTATTTCGCAAGCTAATTGCGGACAGAGAATCTGCGGTTCGTGTGCAAAATCAAGAAGCTACTATAGTAACAGCAGGGTGATCGCTGAGGTACTGAAATCAAGAACGGGTTTTGGCCAAATCTATGGGCGTTCTCAATGACGCCCCAAGTGAATAAACAGCCAATCAGCGAGCTTGTACCAAAGATGGTTATGAGAATTTTGTCGTCTAATAACGAAGGATGACGAATTTTAACGGGCGGATCTAGCTTCTTTTCTATGGCGTGGGCGGGCAGGGTTGACATTTGAAAAATCGCACCAACCAATATTTTGCTTAGTGGGGGGTAGGGAGCACTAAAATTTGTTTTCAATTTGAAAAAAGTGCCAACCAATATTTTTTTTTTTTTTTTGGGGGGGGGAGGTAGAAAGCACCTTGGCCAGCCAAAGGGGGATTTAAACCTCCTAACCCCCCTAGATCCGCCCCTGGCACAAAGGACTCTTCGGTGAATTTTGTTTCTTCCGATTATTGTTTCTGAACAGTAACAACATGAATATGGATATGAATTGTTTTAAAACTTGATGATAAATTATTGTTGAAATTTGATAAAAAGCCGTTTTGTGGCTTGGTTGAGACAAGTTGTGCTAGTCATGTAGTCCCGTCTGTACTGTATTGCGTTGAAGGGAACAGGCCATTTTCGTAATGTAATCAAATTTAATACATACTGTACGTCTTTGTGAAGTTCCTCAATACAAATTATTTCATTCACCTGTCTAGGATTCGCAATAGTCAGAATGCAAACTGCATGTATTAAGTGTGGCAACAACTAATGTATGCAGATTGGATTCTGTCTATTTAAATACTATTATTATCAGGTGAATGAAATGGTTTGTATCGAAGCACTTGATTCACTTGGGGCGTCATTGAGAACGCCCGTAGATTTGGCCAAAACCCGTTCTAGATTTCAGGGCCTCAGTGGTCATCCAACTGTTACTATAGTATCTTCTCGATTTTGCACACGAACCGCAGATTCTAATTCCGCAATGAGTTTGAAAAAAATTGCCTATTATTATTACCATGACGGCAAGAGAAAAGACTCAATGGCATTGGAAAAGTTGTAACTGTACAGGTGTAGTAACCATACTGCACACAAAACCATTGCGCTCACTGGAAAGTTAGATCACAATGATTGGCATTGTTTGCATGATGACAAGAGAAGAGACTCAACGGCATTGAATCAAAATCGTACAGTGTATGGAAATGATTATTCAAGGAAGTAGCAGTGGAACTTAAACTTTATTTTTAGACTGATGACATTTTTGTGAAATATTGACTTCAGACTCTTATAATGCTGAAAAACAGGTGATTATTTGTTCTTCGTTTATCTGTTGTGTAGTGGTGGTTCGTGCCTATACACGGTCGCAGCACTATTCTGGATAATAATTTAGTCTGGTTCTGCATAATAATTTATCAAATATCTTCTACACATTCTTACTTTTTTTAAATTATCTTCAGAAGCATTCATAGAATTCATTGCGTATCAACTATCAACCAAACTACATGTACAGTAACTCAAATGTCATCCAAGAATGGTGGTGTTGTTGTATTTTACAGCTATTTTCAGTTCATTCCTTTTTCTTTTCAGGAGATTTTTGTACATTGTACAGTACATCAACCTTTAGGGCCAATTAAGTGTCATCATTGATTTGACGGTATTGAAGGACTCAGATGGAGGAGTTATTATGTGGTTACTTAATTGGAAAATTGGAAGTGATCAGTGGCATCACAATAAAGAATACCAGGAGTTATACTGGCACATACATGTACATCATTACATATTAGTAAAGATTTGTTCAATCAGAGATGCAGTCTTGTTTAATAGTTACCCTGGTATAGAAAATGTGAGTAGCTCATACCAACAAAATCATTACCACTATTTGGCATACATGTACATGTACATGTACAAATATAAATATGGTCAATGTTAACATTAATCCTTATATACCGGTAATCATCTAGTGTATAAGTAAATGTTTGCATGTTTGATTTGGGTTTCTGAATATTTAACTACTATCAGCTTGCCAATTTGATTATTTCAGTAAAAAGAGATTCAATATCATCTGACTTGAGGAGGCGCAATAGCTCAGTCGATAGAGCAGTGGTCTCGTAATCCGGTGACCCGGGTTTTAAACCAAGGCGATGTGCTAGTTTGGTAAGGCATTAATCCTCACTACCAGGTTCCTCGGAGAGGACCTAAATCCGTCGGCCGTCTGGTTGCTTACTTACAAACATTTATGCATTCTTAGCAGTCAGATAAAATAACCATCACATTGACCGAGTCATGATGTCATCTCTAACAGTAATGTCAAGAGAATCTGAAATACCGTAAACATGGCATAGTGTAACCTTGTTTATTGAACAATAATGAAGTACTTTCATGAATCCATGTTTCAGAGAAAGCTAGAGAATGAAACCTCAAATACTACCAATATATTCACCAATCTCATTAATTTCTATGGAGGTTCCTTGAGTGAAATAAGGTTATACATGTATGTTAATTTGTCCTAATTAGGAATTAAAAACATCTAAATTAGTAATACAAAATGTACGTTTTCTGCATGCAACAGAAAAACAAAATTAAGTATTCTTTTTTTTATCAATATTTATCCTCAAACACAACTTTTTTGAAAATCCTTGCAGAAATGTGTTTTAAATGACATCCTTGTCTTTCACATTATGATACAATTTAAGTGAAATTTTGTCATCAAATTTTTGGCAAATTTGGGGCTCCCAACACTTTAGAGGGGCTTTAAACTGCAAGGGAAATGTTCACTATGGTTCATTGTACAAGATATGTACCAGCCAAATATGTAGTTGGGGGTATGTATCTAAATTATCCATTGCAGGCAAATGATCAAGATCTTCTTTGCATGAGATTAGCTTTTTTACATTTTTGTTATAATTTATTAAGGGGATGAGTTCAATAACTCATCCTGACTTGTCCTCCCAGTGGTTTAGGATGGGATCTTGTTGCGGATAGCAGACCAGCATTTTTCTTTTGATAGGGTCTTCTTGGATTGATTTTTTCCAGTAAGTTTTCTTCCACTCAAAGACCAATGCACTTTGTATACAAGTTGAATTTAGCTGTAATTGGGCAAGATTTTGTCTCTATACGTACGGGTTAGTGAGGGGAGGCTATGCAATGCAGTTTGTGTGTGATCACCCATCTTAACTCGCACAGAAGCTTCAAGAAAAGCATCAGATAAGCTGAAAGTACATGTAAGTCCTTCTATTTCGATGTTCTACAATTAATGTTATTTTCATAGTACCGGTATAAGAAAATTAGATTCATTTTGTTTTCAATCATTTTTTTTCTATATCATTTTGTCTAGATTCTGGAGTAAATCTCTAATTGACCCCCCCCCCCCCCCCAACCCCCTCCATTGTGCATATGCCAAGGATAACCGTAAATGTGTCGGTGTATGGGGAAGTTTGACAAATGTCAGTTTTATTTCAAAATTCCCCATACCAGATAGTTATTTCTGTCTATTGGCGAGAGAGATGCCAAGGCCAAAGGTCTCAATGACTGCTTTGAGGATGATTGCATCTGTGCCATATTGTTAGCACTTACAATTACATGTACACTGAATTCAGTTCCGTCGTGAGTAATTCTCCTGCTCGTTTGCTTGGAGTGACAAGATTTTGTGTGTATTTGTAGTATCACGTTCTTCAATGGCAGTTTGCATTCTTTCCATTTGTATTTTTTTCATTTGTAGAGGTGTAGATCTATGGACTTATTTTCAGCTTACTGTATCTGTCCAGCTCCAGTTTGTGAAGCTACTGAACTGTGCAGGATGGGTACGGCGCTCATGCACACACAAACTGCATTGCATAACCCAGGGCCGCCAACCCTCCCGCATTTGGAGGGAGTCATATGCCACCACACTCCTTTTCCCGCCGTCCCACCAGCTCGTAGCAGGAGACTCTCGCCAACATGCCCTTCCTCCTGCTCTCCCGCAAGCTCCTGGTTTATGAAAAAACCTCACGCCAGACGTGTAAAATAAACCAGCGTACTTGTATCATATGGATTTTGTTTGCTCATGGGGGGGGGGGGTAGTGGGCACTTCTTACCCTTCCCTGTTGAGCTCCCCACAGCCACACTCAGTCAGCTCTGTATAGAGGCAGTCAGTGAATATGGAGGAGCCTGACGTAGTTATTTATCATGTTTAGATCTAGATCTATAGTATAGGCTACATGTAGCTAAGCCGAGTCTAGGCCTAGGCCTACACTGTAGTAATTAGTAGGTCTAGGTCCTATAGCAGAACAACCATAACCATTGATATCAGACTTTTCAGAGACCAAAGGCAAAGCAAAGGCAAGGCTTTCATCGGTCCAACATCAGGAACATGCAGGCTGGGTTCGCGCTCATCGATTGACGAGTACTTGTACTAAAATGCATTAATTAACTGACTAACGAAGTTATAGTCTCATCTTCTTAGGCCACCGCCGGCAGGCGGCCTGGCAGGCGGCCTGGCGGGCGCAGCCGAGCTCAATTCATTCAACCAATGGTGGTGATTTGGGGCTTTCCCTAGCTCTAGTCTGGATACTGCGTTACTTAGAAGCACACAGTTTCAACTAATGAAGCTATGATAAGATATATATATATTTAATCTACTACTCTTATTGACAATTAAGGAAAACCCAAAACAAACCTTACCTTAAAACATCTCGAAAACACCATTTTAGCGGCTTCTGTGGCGTGGTCTGTCTCTGAGGAGGGCATGGGACGACGGATCGACGATGAACTAAATACCCCATTCACAGTGGTTTTGAAATTTGTAGCGGCGTTGTAGCGGAGCGGCGACACCGCCATAACACCGCTACAAATGCATTCACAGTAGAAAAGTTATCCCGCTGCAGCAGCGGGATAAATATCATGTACCCATTCACGCTGCAGCGGGTGATTTTTATTACCTCCGTAACAAACACGTGTATGCATGGCTCATGACCCGCGAGTGACCCCGATATGACCGGAAATACTTGCTTGAAATTGCGCGGTAAACATGTCAAGTTGCTTTTTGTATCCTCGATCATATTACTTTTAAAAAAACTAGCATTTTTATTGCTTCCAGTCAGAATATTTTAATTTTTTGAAGTGTGAAATATTTTTATTTGGATAATTATAATACCTACATAATAATAAAATCAATTTGAATCCACTGGTTACTTTATTTCTATTTCACTTTATGTTCCCCATTGCTGTAGAAAAGAGGTCAGTGATAGGTAAGTAAACAAATCACACGTGTTTGTCGCGGTGTTATAGCGGAGAGCCTTCACACTGAGTAAACACCGCGACAGCAGCGGGACTGTCCCGCTGCTGTAGCTAGGCGTCCCTAGCGATAGTTTGTGTCGGCGTTATCGCTAGGCGGTGTTATCCCGCGATAGTTTATAACGGGTCCGAGCCTTCACACTGAAGACAACACCGCGACAGCAGCGGGACAGTCCCGCTGCTGTCGCGGTGTTTGAGGCCACTGTGAATGGGGTATTATAATAGACTAGTCTAGTTCTAAGCACACGCAGACCGCTATTTGTGACATTAAGCTGATCAAGTGTGTCTCATGACTCTCATCTCGACTCCAACTGACCGTCGACCCTACGGCTATCCCCAGTGGCATATCTAAGGGTGGGGGGGGGAGAGGGGGTCCCTCCCCCCTGGCCAAAAAACTGTTTTCAAATCAAAATGAAGACGGGCGTCCTCCCCTGGGGTGGGCACCAAAAAAAGGGGGTGGGGGTGTTGATTTAAAAAAAAAAAAAAGCAGTGCTCAATACCCCCCGCCCCCCCCCCCCCTCGTTGCTCGTGTGTCAATCACGGAACTTCCGTGGTGTCCATCAGAAAGATCACATAATGTTGTTGTTTTATAGTTTTTATTGGCGTGTATATTTAGACTGCAATAGTCTTTTCACAAGCTTGACGCAAACATTATTTCCTATAATTTCATCGTCATTTCTCTCCATCATAAACTTTAATAATGTTATATTCCAATCCAACGTCTATTCTGATTAAGAGTATAGCAATTTAGAACAACAGTCTTAGAAAAACATAAAAATTGACCGGTATAATAATAGGCCCAAATTATCCTATTAAAAAAAAAAGTTTATGGTAATGTTAAGACTTTGGAACTGTTCCTTAGTCTATTTTAGCAGTGTTGAAACCGTCGATACCCATGTACATGATGTGGCTGTGTTTTAGATGAATGGTCGAAACTAAAATTTATGCTGAACAAATAAAGCGACCAAATAAATGAAATGTTAAGCTTTGCTTATGATTGCGGTCTCCTGCACTTTTCCAACAGAATAGTTCAGATGATACTTTAAATTTATGATAATATGTTATGGAAGTAATAAGTTTCGTTATTATATGTACATATATTATGTGCAAAAAACATTTTGACATTAAGAAATTATTGTTTGTTTATGTTTTATTATACCTTACATGTATTTTATGTTCTTTGTTATTCAGTTATATTTTATTTGGAAAATATGCAGAAATAAAATCAAATAAAAAATATACGAAATAAAACGGGTGATAATAGTGAGATGCGCCTACAATTTCACATTATTTTATTCTGTTCACCCCACGATCCAATTTGATGTCTGAGAAAATTAGACTAACTTCCGGCAACATGGAAAAAAAAAATCATTACTGCGTATACTATAGTAGGTAGTCTTTAATAATCAACAGGTTACGACGTAACATGGTTGAATGTTGAAACGAGATGTTGTATATGGTCAATTTCTCTCTCTGACAAAATATACTGCCACATCTTTAGACACACGCAAATATTCCTCATGCTCCCTAGGCCCTGCCGAGGGCTAAGTCAATCAGAGATTATTGAGACTTAATATAATATTTAATTATTTCTGTTTTCAAGACTAGTACCATTTATCAATACATGTGTAGGCCATTTCACAATTATATACTTTCCACTTGAATAGCAACAATAAGCATTATCATAATTTAAGACTAACAAAATATATATTATTACATTAGCAAACCAAGGAATTTGTTTTTTCCAATAAAAATATCCTTATTCCTGTACATGAACTTCAAATTGGCTACTTGCCTGGTTGCTGCAGAAAGAATAGATACGTATGTGGCTAAACGTCATCATAAAGCTTGGCCTGTTCTAAAAACATACTTATAATTGTACTTTGATGATTGTAAATAAGCAAAGAATCAATAACAATAAATAACAAAAGATTGTTATTGATATGTATATTATCAAACAGTATTTATGTCAGTATTTTGAAGGGTACGACATTTAAAACGTGTACCAATATCTAAACAAAAATATAAGATTTACATCAAATTGGCCCCATTTAACACCCTTCTCTACACATATAATTACGACTCAATGCTATTGATACAATACCTATCACAAGCTGGATATTTTGTAAAAGCAGTAAGATATGCATTGTGCAATTATTCCACAATAGCTCAATATGTCATTGAGAACGCGGATCATATCGCCTGTAACAGCATACAAATTGGGACGGATTTTTATGCCAAATGTACGCGTAGTCCCATTTATACATATTTCTGTGTACAGTGCTCGTAACTTTACCAAGACTGGGCAAAATTTCTTATCATTTTGATGATACCAGAACCTTGCAGTACACACCAGTACTTATATGCTACATGATCAACCTTTTTCTGATCGATTCCACACTGTTGCATTCACAATGCAATCGCATGACCAGAACTCAACTTTAATTTTAAATGGGTACCCGATAAGGCGGATACAATGGTAGGGAGTATCCCTGTCCTCATCTTGCTCAACATTAATTATTTTGGGAATTATTTATTCACCTGACTCATCAAACTCACCCTTATACCATCATTACCCCCACCCCCCCCCCCCCCCCCCCCATCGCCTATCTTTAAACAAATGAACAAACACACACACACACGTAACATTTAAATTATCATTATTCATTAATTTTGTATTATCACAGGCGTAATGAACTATGGCAGAATTAAGCGATATGTTAAATAAATATGAATATATAATCATTACTGTTAAAATGATACAACATAGCTATGTAATTTATAGAGGGAATTATTCGGCTTCATGCGGGATGCACCTATCACAAAGTGACTGGTATTTAGCCCAGGGGATAGTTATTTCTAGTATTTGGCCCAGGGACTAGTTATGCCTAACAAGACAGGGAACAATAGGCTCTCAAGCTAGAGTGCATGTTGTCAATAGGAGAGCTATGTGTGTGATGTGTGCTTTTCAATTGGAGAGTTTTGGGTGTGATGTGCTTTTCAGGGATACCTTAGAGAAAAGAGCTACACTTGTGCTATGTGAAGTATAGGGTGCATGTGTTATTGGCAGGGGAGAACAAATTTAGCACTGGTCAAAGCAGGACATGTTTGCTGAATGCATGTGAGAGGAGTTAGCTAGGATGCGCAGCAATTATCTCATTTTGGTGCTATCTTGGTGAAATCAGGGCAAGCAGGCCAGGAGAAGACTCCTCTACAGCTCCCAAATTGTCTTCGACACCTGTTAAAGTGACATTGTTGTATTCTTTTTCATATCTGTATCCATGTTTTTGCGTGTAGGATAGTTGTCAAATATAGGGCGTGGCATAGGTAGGGAAAGGCTACAAAAGTACCAGGGGTTAAGTGTTTATGAGAAAGCATAGCATTTTAGTATTGTGTCAGCCAAGCATTGAAATGATTTATTGGAGCATTTTTATGTAGGCTAGAGAAGCAGTTATTCTGGGTTTTTCTTTTGTAAAAATGGGAAGGAAGATAGTATGTACTTTACCAAATTATTGTGCATTTGTTTAGCAGCAGTTAGTACTTGGGATTGAAGAGGTTTATAATATTTTCCCTGCTAAAAGGGGAGGTAATTTGTATAGTGCTTTAATAGCCTTGAAAAGTATTACATATGTGTATGAAATACAGTGGATATCATTGTAGGACGATGTTAATAAGGACATTGTTTCTAATACATGAAAGCAGCCATGTTCGTATAATTTATGATCCTATTTTATAGTTTGGATATACATGGTATGCTATGACCATTGGGTTGCATGTATTGTTTTACAGCAGACACAGACGTGCTGGGTTAATACGTCTACTAGACGTTTTTTTACTTCAGGGTACTCGTGGGCTATCTACAATGATTCAATCGGTGGAGCTCGACTTCGAAGTACGGCTACTCGCTAAAGCAGTAAGACGGCTCGAACTTCGTGCTACAGTTGCTACGTTGTCCAGTACATCATCGCTACAGACGAACGTCACATCAGATACTTATGGACATTCGGTCGCGAGTTACGTACGAGTGCTTAGACGAGACGTCAGCACTTAGAGACAAACTGCAGAGATTTTCAACGGCGGTTATTAAGTATCGGTTATATCTGGAACATTTAATTGGAAGATATCACTAATGCGGAAGCATTTAGACTTGTACCTTTTTTCCGTAAATGATTAAGGGGCATGTTAATAGTGATCTCACGTTGTATTACTTGCAGTACTGCACCAAAAGGGGGTAATGATACTTTTGCTTAGAAACACTGGAAGATTGTGGGAATATTTTGCATGAGGGTAAAAGACACGTGATACTATTTTCATTGTTCATCACCAGGATATACCTGTCGAATACACGTCTTGGAAAACGCAGGTTGATGTTTATTTTGTTAAGTTCATTAATAAAGTGTGGTTGTAAGATGTACACAGTTAAAATTTTTGTGAACAAGTTGTTTAAAAGTTTAAACAACTCTTGATTAACGGGTGAC